GTTGGTCAAAGCACACAAAAAGCTAGAGACAAAGAGGGTCACCTCATAATGCCAAAGGATAAATACACCAAGAAGATGTATTTCCTGAGGCATGCATTTAATAATTTAGCCTTAAAACATATAAAGCAAAACAAACTGAACCACAAGGGGAAACAAATCAAACAGGTCTGTTTATCTACTGGGAAATGTTAACATACTTCTTTTTGAAAGTTATAGAAGAAACACATACACAAAAAAAGTCAGTAATTATAAACAATTTGAACATAATTAATAAACCTGACCTATAAAGGGTATATAGAGTACTATATTAAGCAACTGCAGAATATTCTTTTTTTCAAGCAAACAGAGAACATTACAAAATTTGACCATATACTGGGCCACAAACACAAGTACTGATGTATTTTAAAGGAATGTTCTCTGACCGCAGTGCAATTAAGCTGAACATAAAAAAGAAAGATTAATGAAAGTCACATTAAGAAAACAGAAAAAATACATAACAGCAACTGATCTAAGAAAAAAAGACATAAGTAACCAATATCACAAATGAAATTACTACAGTTCCTATAGAGCTGTAAAGAAGAGATTCATGAAGAACTTTATGTCAATAAACTTGAAAACTTAGGTCAAATGGACAAATTCTTAGAAAAATGTAATCTAGTAACATTAACTCAAGAAGACAGAGAAAACCTGCAGAATCCCACAAACAGTAAAGACTATACCTCAGTGGCCCAAACTCTAAGCCCATACTGGTTCCTTAATAATTTTACCAAACTCCCAAGGAAGAAGTAATTCCAATATTAGTGAATGCATCCAAGAATAAAATGGGAACATTCCCAAATAATTTTATGAAACTGGAATTATTTTGATATGGAAACCTGAAAATACCAAAAAGGAAAATTAAAGGTTAATCTCACTCATGAAGAGAAATACAAAATGAGAGCATGGATAAGGTGAACACACACATATAATTCACATGAATTCTGCAGAGTATAAAAAGCATGATATGATAATAACACACCATGCAAATTTAGCTTAAAATAGAAAAATTAAAAGATTGCTCATATTAGAAAATTACAGATTAAAAGAACAAAAATGAAATAACCAAATACAGAAAAAGCACTTGATAAAACATAACCACCATTCATAATAAAATCTGATAGCAAACTAGGACTAGAACCTCTATAATCTAGACATCACATTTAATCTATAAAAAATTTAAGAGCAAACATCATGGTGCAATCTTGGAGGTTTTCCTTCTATAATCAGGACTTATAAAACAAAAATGTACAGAAGAGTTAACATAGCAGGCCTGAGACTGTTATCTTTAGGTGGTTTTGCTTGCAAGGCTGTCCCTTGGCTGGTGCCTGGAAATTTGAATGATTGTAAATGGTTCCCTACACTGACTTTTCCTAAAACAGTAAGTGTGGTTCACTGTGCCTGAATTGTTTGTATAAACAACATGGTTTTATTTGCTTTCCTTCTGGGAGTCTGGAATTTGGCACTTGCTAGGCAGAGGGAGGGAGCTTCTGTGACCAGCTCCAATAAAAACCTTGGGTAGTGCATTTCTAATGAGCTTGCCTAGTAGACAATACTTCACAAGTGTTATCACAACTCACTGACAGGAATTAACTGCATACTGTGTGACTCCAGATGGAGAGGATTCTTGGAAGCTTGCAACTGGATTCCTTCAGATTTTGCTCCTTTTCTTTTTGCTACTTTTGCTCTATATTCTTTCACTGTAACAATTTTTAGCCTTGAGTACAACTGTATGTTGAATTATGTGACTCCATCTAGCAAATCAAACCTAGGGAGGATGTGGGACTTACAACATAAATATCTACTATCGTCATTAGTACTTGACAATGAATGGGAAGTCCTAGCTATTCCAATAAGAAAAAGAGAAGAATAAGGATAGAAAGATAAAAACAAATTGGGATGAATCGTTTATAGAGAAAATCTCAAGGAATCGATAGATAAGGCACAAGTATAGATTTGATTTCTATAAAATGCAGATTATAATGCCATAAAATAAATAACAAAAATTACATTCTTCAATACCAGCAAAGAGATTAAAAATAAAAAAGAAATACTATTTTAAAAAGCATGAAAAAATAAAGTGCCTAGTAACAAATCTTTTAAAAAAATTTATTTATTTATTTATTCGAGAGAGACAGGGAAAGAGAGCAGGGGAGGAGCAGAGGGAGAGGAAGAAGCAGACTCCATGCTGAGCACAGAGCCTGATGTGGGGCTTGATCCCAGGACCCTGAGATCATGACCTAAGCCGAAATCAAGAGTCAGACACTTAACCGACTGAGCCACCCAGGCGCCTCTAAAGTGCCCAGGAATAAATCCAACAAAAAATATATCAGATCTTTACAGAGAAAATTATAGGTATTAAAAATATTAAATAAATGCAGAGATTTAAAAGATTTAATGCTGTGAAGAAGTCCAATCACCCAAGTTACTCCATAAAACAAATGCAACCCCAGTTAAAATTCTCAGGTGGGGAAAGGGGAATGTAGAATCAGTAGGCTGATTCATCATATTTGTAGAGAATTACAAGGAGCCATACCCATAACTAGAGGATAGCCATACTCCAGAAAATGAACAAAGTCAGTGGAATTACTCTAGGAGGTAGTGAGTTGCAGTAAAAAATTAAAATTGAGACAGTGTAGTATTGGTGTGGATAGACAAGTAGGCCAACAGAATAGAACAGATAGGCCAGAAACTGACCCAAGCAAACATGGATGCTTGATATATGACAAAGGCAGTCCTGCAGAGCAGTAGGGAAAGAATGAACTTTTCAATAAATGGTGCTAAGAAAGTGGATTATCCACATGGAAAATTAAATGGGATCTCCACTTCACATGATACACAAAAATTAATCCCAGGTAGTTTACAGATATAAATGTGAGATGCAACAGTATAAATAAAGCTTTTAGAAAATAACTATGGGAGAACCGCTTCATAACTTCAAAGTAAGAAAGAGTTTCTTTATAAACATATAAAACTACTAATTATAAAGGAAACATGATAAATTTGACTACATTAAGGTTAAGAAGATCTGTTCATCAAAGATATTATAGAGAGTGAAAAACAAGCCACAGAATGGAAAAAGGTATTTATAAATAACCAACAGACATCCAAGAAATACAAGGAACTCCTACAAACCAGTAAGAAAAAGAAAGTTGACCAATAAAAAGATGAGCAAGAGACCTGACCAGGCATTCTACAAAATGAAATCCAAATGGCCAATAAAATATTTGAAAGAATGCTCAATCTCATTAGAAATCAGAGAACTATAAGTTAAAAACCCCGATAAAATTACAAAGCCATCAAATTGCAAAAATTTTAAAACTCTGATCAAATCAAATATTGGAGAGGATGTGACAACAGGTACACACAACACTGGGAGTCTAAACTAGTATAACCACTTCGGAAAATGTTTTGGTTACATCTAGTAAAATTGAAGATATGCGTACCCACAACAGAGTAATTCCATTCCCAGGTATAAACCCTAGAAAAAACAGGTACGTACACAAACCACAATTCATAAACAAAAGTGCTCAGCAACACTGTTACGGTTTTTTGTTGTTGTTGTTATTACAGAAAACCTGGAGTCCATGTTATAATAGAAAACTCAGAGTCCATGAACAGAATGGATAAATAAATGATGATATGGTCCTAAACTAGAAAACTATTCGGAAGAAAGAATGGATCAGGGAATGGCACAAGGGAGTGGCAGGGAATTTTTGAGAAGTTGGTAATGTTCTAATTCTGGAGCTGGGTGGTAGTTACATGGATGTTCACTTTTTAGTTATTCATTAAACAGTGTATTTGTATTTTATGTTTTTTTAATATGCATGCAATTCTTTATGATAAAAACAAAAAATTTAAAAAGTAATTTATCTTTTAAGCAGAATTTTAGAAAAACAGGATGATGCATGATAATTTTTCTTTCAGAAATATGAAATGTCAAGTCTGTACCAGTAATAACAATAAGGTGTTTTAAAAGTGCTAAAATGCTGCAACTCCAAAGCTAAAATGGTCTTTGAAAAAGGAACGTAATTCTATGACATGATTTAATAACACTATTAAAGAATTTCTAGAATAGCAGTTGCAAATATTTCAAATACAGAAGCTTTAATTTGCATACTTAGCTTAAGGAATGCAAAAGGGATGAAAAAGTATGAAAATTAGGTGTAGTAGAAGAGGAAGCCCTGTTAGTTCTTCCTTCAAAATTAGAATCTGAACACTTCCCAATAATTTAACAGCATTATCCAAGCCAATCATCTTTCACCTCAACAGCAACAGCTTTGTAACTAGACTCCCTGCTTTCAATCTTCTTTCAATTCTTGCCTACTAAAGCTCATTTTTCAGACAGCAGCAAGAGTGATCTTTCAAAAAGCAAACATGCTCAAAACCCTCCCATGGCTTCTATTTTCACTTAGAATATATTAGGAGGCCTCACCAGTTTCTCTAAGCTCATGTTCAACATTCTCCTTACTCACCTATGCTTCAGTCACCCCGTCCCCATTTTAATCCTCAAATACACCAACCTCATTCCTAACTCAGTCTTACTTACACTTTTGTCACTACCTGGAATAGTCTTCCTCCAAAGGTTCACGTGGCTGCCTCTTTCTCACCATTCAGATCACTGCTTAAATGTCATCTCTCAGAGAAGCTTCTCCTGACTACCGTATTGAAAATAGTCATGACCTCCTCCCAACAAACACCATTTTCATTTCCTTTTATCTCCTGTGCTTTATTTTCTACATGCACTTAACTCTATCTGAAATTATATTTGTTCCTCTACTCATCTCCTGTCTTTCCCCACAAAATACAAGCTCCATGAGGGGAAGAACTTTGTTTTGGTCACTGATGTATCCCTGGTAATTGGAATAGGTCTGGATCACAATAGCCACTTAATACATTTATTAGTGAAAAAAATGAATCTAACTGATTAAAAGAATTCTAACTGGAAGAGATGAAATACTTACATGTTTATTGCTTATTGGTCTTTTTAAGAAAGCATCTCTAGAAATGTGGTCTGCCGTTCTTGCCACATCTTCCAAAAACCGATAATCTAAAAATTTCAAAATAGAAAAATAAACTGACATATGCCAATGGCCAGGAAGCATCAATCTGCTATGCATAAGATGACTTACCACTTAGGAGATTCATTTCAGTAAACTGTTGTATGGAAACATATGCAGTCTTATCCCGAACTCCATTACACGTCAGTTCTGCTTTGTGTTTCTTTACACAGGGCAAACTGAAGAGACAAATGAGGTGGTACTTTTATACTCTGAGGTAAGAAAGGTACAGACAGAGGTGGTAAGGTAGGAAATTACATACATACCTGCAGGAATATCGCATACAACGCGGACATTTGTACTTTGCTTCTTCTGTACCACAAGTTTCACATCTACAAAAGCCCACAAGAAACTTACTAAGTTATCAAATATTAATTCTACTTACTGATTTATAAATTTTTAATGCTGAGTCAATTACTCATCACAATTTATAGACATGTAGTCAGTGAATAAAGTACATGGAAGTTACTCTGATAAAATACTTGATAGCTGTCAAACATCCTTAGAACATTCTCCTCCAGGAAACTGTCTTCGTCTCCAAATGACAACTACATTTACAACGTTGTTAGTACTACATAATCTAAGCAAACATATATTAAATTAAAAAAAAAAAATCACTTTGACTTATTTTTCTACTGCAATCAGAGAATGAGATTATTCATTAGTATTTTAACTTGTAATTCCTGGCAGTCTGCTAAAGATTGGGTGTGTGTGTGCACCTATAACCAGAAGTCCAATCCATGAATTTACATACCTTAAAGCAAACATACCACAAAAAGAATATGAGACCAAGTCAAATTTACAGAGTATCAGCTGTATCTTTTCTCATCTCCACATCCAACTTAAAATTAGCATTAAAATAATCTTGAAATACTATTACCCATCATCTATCTCCAATTACTCTTGTAGGATCTTGGGATAATGACAACCAAACTACAGTCATTTCTATTTGGCCCACTGTGTTCTAGACAGTAAGAGTCCCAAGAATCTGATCACTCTTATATCCCATGCCGTCACATGATCATACACTATAAGGAAATTAAACATAAAGCAATAAATATGCATACTATCCATAAAGAAAGTAAACAGCTGGGTGAGTTCAAATGCATTTTTGTCTAATTTTAACTTAATCCATGCTGTCATTGTTAGTTTTATTAGACTTTTCCTTATGTCTATCCTCTTTTTTAAGAATACTGAGTCAAGAGCATATTAGATCAAATCAGAATCTGGTCCAAGGGTTTTCTGGTCCCCAGAATTTTCACTTCCTTACTTGGCCATTGTCCACTGGCCACTAAGAGCCTGACATATTTTCACTGAATTTGTTGTCCTTTGACAAAACCCTGCCTTCCCAATTACCCCCTCCCTCCACCACCAACACGCACGCTCCAAGGACCCAAGTTTGCATTTCTTTTTCATTATGCCACACCCGGCTGCTAGATTTCCTTCAATCCAGACAACAGAGGACTCCACAGCTTTATTTCCCCGATGAATTTCTCCCTGTCCTACCTTGACATGGCCAGTTTCCGTTTGAAACCCACTGGTGGATTTATCTGAGGCTCTTCTTTCACCTTTGGATCATCCATCACTTCTTCCTTTGGGAAATACTTCTCTTCTTTTACACAAACGTCATCCATCATTTCCTCCTTTTTTATGTTCTGAGCAACAAACACCTCCTCTTTTATCTCCAAGTTATCTTTCTTCTCTTCCTTCACATCTAGCCAGTCCATCACCTCTTCCTTCACCTTCACTTTCTCTTCTTTTACCTCTGCTCCATCCACTTTCTCTTCTTTTACCACAAAACTATTATCCATCTCCTGCTTCACCTCCCAAGTGCCTGGTTTCTCCTCTTTCACCTCAGGCCCATCCTTCACCTCCTGCTTTACCCACCGGCCATCCAGCATCCCGTCTTCCATTTCCGACCAGTCCATAACTTCTTGTTTCACAACCGTTAGGTCCACTCGCATCTCCTCTGCCGTTTGTCCACTTCCTTCTCTATCCTCTGTCTTCTCCATTCCTGCCTGTCCATTCCCCGCTTCTACACTGCCAGCGTCCGTCCCTGCTGTGCCCCGGACTCGCTCCCTACCGGACTCGAGCCTTAGCCGCGCCCCCTCAGCTCCACTCTGCAGACCTCCTCCCAATGTCCCTTCATTTTCAACAGCAGTATCCATCAGCTCACGACCTCTGGCCTTCGCTGCCACTCTGTCCTTCAGTGTGGCTTGTCCACGCCAAAAGGAACGAATTCTGGGTCGGAACACCGACAGCTGCCCACGTGCGGGACCGAAAGCCGCAAGGAGCAAACACCGGCCACTTTCGTCCAAATCGTCGTAAAGCAACACTTCCGTGCCTCGCCGCTTCACGACTCGTAGAGCCCTTTACGGCTCTGCGGCAGTCCGGGCCCAGAGACACGAGAGAATCGGCGTGAGGCCACGCCCTTGTGAGCTCACTTTTGGGGCGTGGCTTCGTCAAACCCTGCCCCGGGGGAGGCAGCTTCCGGCCGCTTTTCCCGCCCCCAGTCCGTGCTTGGCCACACTCCTCGGTAAAGAGTGGACGTGCGGGGCGGAGCCGGGAGAGGCAAATCCCTGACCCTTTTGGAACGGTTAAGACCCACCCTGGTCTGTATTATCTTGTATGAAAATGGAAGAAACACTTGATGCCACGGCTGGCAAGCTTCGTTCTTCACCTATGCACTAGAGACGATGGTGTTGTTATTGTGAAGATTAAATGGAATCATGCATGGAAATAAGCCAGTAGTTACTGAAATAAACTCAATAGATGGTGGCTATTGTCACAGGGAATCCTGAGAGGTTTCAGATAGGAAAGAAGGAATTAACTTTTATTCCTTAAGTTCCGTCAATAAGAGCCCACAACAGCCAGTTTCCCATTCCCAGCATCCTATAGGACTCTCTCTTTCAAACAAACTGAGCGTTGCTGGAGTGGTGGGGGTGGGAGGGATGGGGTGGCTGGGTGATAGACATTGAGGAGGGTATGTGCTATGGTGAGCGCTGTGAATTGTGTAAGACTGATGAATCACAGACCTGTATCTCTGAAACAAATAATACATTATATGTTAAAAAAAGAAAAAGATCATAGGAGGGCAAAAATGAAGGGGGGGAAGTTGGAGGGGGAGACGAACCATGAGAGACTATGGACTCTGAGAAACAAACAGGGTTCTAGAGGGGGGGGAGGGGGGGGGATGGGTTAGCCTGGTGATGGGTATTAAAGAGGGCAGGTATTGAATGGAGCACTGGGTGTTATACGCAAACAATGACTCATGGAACACAACATCAAAGAAAAATAAATAAATAGGAAAAAAAAAGAATATGTGTGTGTGTGTGTGTGTGTATCCCTAAAGACTGGGCCAAAATTTCAATACCCAGGAATAGAAGATCTAAAAAATAATACAAAAATGCAAAAAACAAAAACCATTTTTTTTTTTTAAGATTTTATTTATTTATTTGACAGAGAGCGACAGCAAGAGAGGGAACACAAGCAGGGGGAGTGGGAGAGGGAGAAGCAGGCTTCCCGACAAGCAGGAGCCCGATGCGGGGCTCAATCCCAGGACCCCGGGATCATGACCTGAGCCAAAGGCAGACGCTTAACCACTGAGCCACCCAGGCGCCCCTCTCAATTACTTTTCAAAATTATTATTATTACATGTGGGGCATTAGGCACTTTCACCTAATCTTCACATCATGTCTGTTGAGGTGAGGTATTTTTCTCACTGTGTAAGGAAACTTCACAGGAGATATATTTTTCTTGCTGTATAAAGGAGACTTCAAAGCAGCTGTAGGGTGCTTTGTATTATCTCCTCAATGCAGGGCATTTAACTGTTATCACTCATTTGCAAGTTGGTCAAAGAATGGGAATTTTGAATGGGTGAGCAGAGCGAGGGAGGGAGAAAATTTGAAACCTAGTTGGGGCGTGAGGGATTAAGTAGTGCTGGAAGGAGCACAGAAGTAAATTGGGAGAGTTTAGTACAATCGTCTTACGGGTTGTGAGAAAGAAGCTTCCAGAGGAATCATATGGATAGTCTCTTTTGGAGATACTTAGAGATGCTAGCTGCCCGTGGAGTCAAAGAAAACCTGATTGGATTTTCAGGCCAGAGCACATACTTGCACAGGGGAAAGGGGCTAAATGGTAGAAAGAATCCATGTGGTTTTTGCTAAAGACAAGATTTGTGAGATGGGAGCAACAAGAGGGAGTGTTGATCCTCAAGAGAATAAAACCATCCAGATTTCCATTTAAGAAAGGGAAAAGTTCTGGAACTACAGATCAGACACCAGAAGCATAAAGACTCTAAGATTTTAAAACTTTTGTCATTTGTTCTTGTAATCTGTGTTTTTTTAACAGTCACTGGAGGAAAAATCGTTAAACCAGTAAGGCTCCTTGATGGCATCACAGCTCATCATTTACCTAAGTTAAACAATCCACACTGTGGGATGGTAGTTGTAATGGAGATACTGGAAGTTGTGGTGATATTGTTGAATGGTAGTTTTGAAGGAAAAGGGAGGCTTGAGTCGTCCTGAAAGAGGGACCTTTGGGTTGTTGGAGTATAGAGCACAGCACTGTATGCAAGAAAGGCGATAGCACAAGGACAAAGCAAGGGAGGCAGAAGTTATGTGGAGCTGCCGCTGAATTCCTATCCAGTTCCTCAAACTCCTTTCTCCCCCTTTTCCACCTCGGTGGACTACAGGGACAAGCCCAGCTCCTTCACAATAGGATTGTGCTTATCATTTCTGTCTCCTGCCTCTGCACTAGGCATCCTGCAGCTCTCCTAACCACTTTGAGAAGTGGCCCTTTGTCAGTCATAGTTGAGTTCATTTTAACAGCCAGAAACTTAGGAGTGCTTTCTAGGAAAGCATCTTAGCTGTGATTGAAATGCCATGAAAAAGTGTATCTTAGGGATGGTTAAGTCATTTCAGTGGCTCAGTAGGCTCTTTGTGTAGTCAACCGTCTGCTTGACTATAGAATGAAGATTATAAGGGCCTTTCCTGACCCTTCAATAGACAGGTAAGAAGACAAAGACCCAGAGAAATAAAGTGATTTGTTCAAGATTAAATGGCTATTTAGTGGCAGCACTGACACAGAAAATTAACATTCTGGTCAAAGCCCTTTGTTTGCACTTGAGCTAGCTTAAGATAAAGGCCAAGAGTTGGAATTTCAACTGTGTCCACACAAGAGCCAGGAACCAGAAAGCCTGGAAGTCTGAGTTTTATTGTGTATGGGTATGTGTTGTGATGTGTTGCAGGTTGGGCTATTCAGAAACAGATACTGATAGGAGTTGTTAGGGATCGATACCTGTGAAGAGAAAGGGGAGGAAGCAGGATCGGCCAGAGAAAGCATTTAAATTGTGATGCAGGTCAGACCAGCCTTGGCCAACCTGACAGGTAGCTCAGAGAAAGCATTTGTCTTTAGAGTGTCCCATTTCAGGCAGAAATGCCTCATACTTTATATCTGGCCCCACTAGGTCATCTGACACAGGCTGCCCCAGAAACGGCATGATCTTGGGCCAGAGGCTTCTCTGCAGCTGGAGCTGACAGCTGGACTGCACTCTTGGTGGCCAGGTAGCAAGTCCTTCTTTGAAGAAGATCTGGGCAGCACATCTCTGTGGCTACCGCGGTATGAATGTGTGCCTCTAGCCACATGGCCTTTTGTCACTGAGTTGGCTTCATTCTACTTTCTTTGTAGGCAAGTTGTCTCTCTTCTCCATGTACCTTGTTAAAAAAATACTGCCATTCCACAACTCCAAGGTTTATATATCCTCAGTGCTTGTATAATCATGGAGACTCACTATTGTCTAATTCCAAATGTTTGGGGAAAAGAATCTGATTGGATCAGCCAAGTAGGGGAGGTAGGGAAAATCTCTCCTTTGCCAGTAGCTAGGTGACCACTCTGAGTCTCAGTCAATCTATCTGTAAAATGGAGATAGTTATACGTATTTCACAGATCTGTTTTGAGAATTAAATAAGACAATGTATATGAAAGAGCTTTGTAAACAGTAAAGCATTCTACAAATATAAGTATTGTTTTCCTTATCCTACCAGTAATTTTGAGAGTCCTGCTGATGATAGCTTGCTTAATTGTTTTCTCTTTCGGTTCATGGAGGACAAAGTTGTGGATGTGAGGGCGATCTGGCTGCGACATCTGTCACCCCATTGATCACCAGGGTTGATTCGGCTGATCTGGTTGGCTAGGCGGGTGTCCCCCTCCTCCCTCACCGCTCCACGTGCATCCCTCCCGAAGCTGCATGCTCGGTGGAAGAGGACGACCTTCCCCGATAGAGGAGAGGACCATTCTTCGGTCAAGGATATACAAGCAGCTGCGCTCCCCTGCTAGAACCTCCGAACAAGCTCTCAAGGTCCCTGGAGGACAAAGTTGAGATAATCACATTTCCTAGTTATGGGCACATTCTTCTCATGTGCAACAACACTTTCCTTAATATTTTTGCTATTTGTACATCTCCACTATCATTACCCTCCCCTTCACTCTTATACATTTAATATGATTCCTTATATATAAACATATGTCTTTGTGAAATAGGTAGAATTGTTTTATTGTGTGCATCTTTTTAATAGCTTCATTGAGGTATAATTCACATAAAATAAAACATGTCTCTAATAAACATACAATTCAATAATTTAAACTTGAAATTTTATACAGTTTTGCAACCATCACCAAAATCCAGGTTTAGAACATTTCCGTCTACTCCCGTCCAATACCCTTGTTCCCATCTGCAGTCAATCCCTGTTCCCCTCCCCAGCCCCATGCAGCCATTGATCTAATTTCTATTCCTATAGATTTGCCCCTCCTGGAAATTTCATATGAAATAATATAATAGGTGGTCTTTTGAGTCTGGCCTCTTTCATTAAGCTTAAAGTTTTTGAGGTTCATCCACGTTGTAGCATGTCTCAGTTGTTTATTCCTTTTTATTGCTGAATAATATTCCATTGTATGGATATATCACGTTTTGCTCATTCATTAGTTGATGGGCATTTGGATTGTTTCCAGGTTTGGTGTTATGAAAAATTCTGCTTCTACATTCTCATACAAGTCTTTGTGTGTATATTCTCATTTCTCTTGAGTAGGTACCTAGGAGTGGAATTTCTAGACCATATCATAAGTTTAAGTTTTAAGAAAGAGCCAAACTGTGTTCCACAGTAGCTATACCATCTTACATTCCCACTGGCAGTGTATGAGGGTTCCAGCTTTTCTACATTCCTGCCAACAGTTGGTATTAATTGTCAGTCTTTTTGATTATGGATAGATAATGGTATCTCACTATGAATTTAATTTACATTTCTTTAATGATTAATAAT